AGACTTATGTTCTCTTTCCAAACTTCAGAGTGCCTTTGTCTTTCAGATGTTCTTGATGTTGTGTCCTACAGATGTCACTGGAAGTTCTGAAGAAAAGATTGTATAAACATTTCAAAATCTTTTCCCATTGTTATACAAACTGCAAAAAAGTTTTCAGTGTGTTCTATGTGATGACATCTTTTTTTTTCTTTTTTTTTTTTTTTTTGAAAGAATGCTGAATTGGAATACATGCATATTATTCATATTATTTCAGTCTATTTGATTTTTACATGACTCTAGATATTCCTGCATATATTACTCAGTATAATTCTTTAGTCTTATAAAGTGCTCAATTTTCATCTAGCTCATCTGGCTGTAGTTTTTTACTAAGACTTGACAGGCAAGTTAATTGAGTTTATAGTTACTCTGCCTTACTCGTTCCTCTTCCTGTAGTATTTTCAATGGAGAATGACACTTTTTCACCCATGGTTTGCTACTGTCTAAGATAATGTCTTCTGTTTTATCTCTTCTGTAGGTTCTCAGTGATTATCAGTTGTTACAGTTCTAATTTTAAGAACATGTTGCAAACTGCATAAAGGCATACTTCACTTACTTTAGTTTGAACAAGTTAAATTTATTTCTTCTGTATTGTATTTACTACATTTAACAGACCATATAGTTCTAATTGCTTGAGGGCACATATTACTCTTAAATCACTGACCTAAACTGCAGCACTAGGAAAAAAAAAAGTTACTCAACTCTTTTGTAGACTCTTTTGTAGACTCTAGAAATTGAGCCAATTTCTAATCTCAGTTATATTGTTATAAATCAAGTTTAACTCTGTTCACTGTATTAACACCATTGTAACCAAGATCACTTCAAGCACCTTACCCTGGATTCTGACCCAAAATGCAAATGCCTATATGTTTCAACATGCATGATTTTGTGTATTTGGTGAGTAGATATATCACTATAAACATTAACTTTAACAATCAACTGGACAATTCCTGCCGACCCCTATTCAGCCACAAGCTTTCTTTATTACCTGGGCAAATACAGATAGAATCTCACCTCTAAAGGATTGAGTTTTCTAGGATGGAACTTCTGTTGAATTTAAAAATAAAAGTCTAAGGGTAGAATGTAGAATAGCAAAGCGATCTTTTTATCTTGGGGTATATCAGCAAATATTTAGCTTGTGAAATGTAATGCTATGTTTGACACTGTGGGGAAAAAAAAAAGATTTCATTTTGTTAAGTTAGCTTTAAAATCTGACAATTTTTGGAGTAACATCTGAATCCTAAGAGGTTGATCTGTATGTACTAAAATTGGCAAACAGGCAGGATGTTCATTATTTCCAACTTCAGATCCATGTTCAGTCACAGAACCATAGTCCGTTCAGAATGAATTAAATAAAAGCAAGAACTCCAATTCTTCTTTTCATGGATCTGGATTTTGAGCCTATTGCAAACTGGAAATAGTTCATAAAATTGCCAGGATAATTTTATTAATATCCTAAGAGTTAAATGTGAGAAAAAGAAATGCTTAGAATAATTACTGTAATCATTTTAATAGCATCATCTGACAGAATACAGACTGATTGGCAGATGGTCAACAAGTAGCTCAAAATAATCTAAAACATTTGTTTTAATACCCACTCTGAGCAAAATAGTCAAGTGGTGTCACAACCTTAGGTATTTTTAGTACAACCCTCACACACCTCCAGGTGATCCAGGATGATTATCACCTTCTTCTTCTTTTTTAATGACAATACCAATCCTGGAGTATTTATAACATTTTGTAACTGTTTCACATGCTTAGACTTACAAACTTTAAGCTTGGATGGATAACAAATAAGCGTTGTAAACTGTTCTGATCTAAAATATTTGCCATTGTTGGGCTTCTTGATTTATTTCAAGCTTTCTGGCTAAATCTCACTTAAATTAATGCTGTAGACATGTTTTCAGTTTCTACAAATCAAATATCCTCTGATTTTACACACTCTTAAATCCCTTGAATGTAGTGTTCGCAGTTTGAGATTAAAACACAGTAATTACAAAACTATAAATCCAACAAAAATAGATTATAATAGAATAGTAATGCAATAATAAAACAAGTGGAAACATAAAAATCAAGGTGTTCAAAAAACATAGCAGTAACTCTAGGTTGTAAACAGTGCCTGTTCAATAACACTCAGTGTGATGCATGGCTCACTGGGAGCGTGAGAACAGAAGAAGCAGTGTGCTGTATACCACATAATAAACACTACCTCAAGTTCAACAGTGCTGTGTGGAATTGTCTGGAGAGTCTCTTACAGTTGGTGAGCTCTGTAAGAGCTTTTATTCTCTTTGTTTCCTTAAGGAAACAACAGAGTCTTGCAGAGCTGAAGTACATAAATTGTATGTAGGCCTGGCCTGGCTTCTGAGATTAAAGAAGCCTTCTGTCATAATGTACATGTTTTCTCTACTGCAAAAGATCCTAAAGCTAGAATGGATAATTATATGCTTTCTAGAGGATATTTACTTCTACCATCCAAGAAATACTGGACCTGAAAAACTTCAATAAATGAGTAACATGTTTCTGAAGCATGTGGGGGTATTTTTTTCTCACAGTTTTCTTTAGTTATTTATGTCTAAATATTGACTGTATGAAAAGCTGGCTCCATGCATGTTCTGCTTGTATACCTGCACAGGGTTTACTGTTCATAGATTGTCCATAGAAGCCCTTTTCAGCATCTTACACTCTTCTCACTTCTTTGCAGGAAGCAAGCTGCTAGTACAGAGAACCTTTGGGTACATATGAGATCACAGTGCTGTTGTGCATGTCTAGGGGGACTCATGTCGGAAAGATAATACTGTACTCCACATTTGCTAAATGTTCCTTGGCTTTTCATCACTAGACAGACTGTGAAGAGTTGTGTGAAAGGGACCAGGTAGCAGCTTTCATCATTCTGCTTGAACAAGAGCAGCTATGGCTGCTAGGCCTGGGGATTTCTCACTTTTCTGCTACAAATAGCATGATGCTTGTAAAGAACACATGGGATATTACTTTGCCCATAATTTCCCAGTTTTGGCTGGTCCCTCTATTGCATCTGCTCATATGATAGACTAAGAATTCAGAAACATGCAACGAAATTTATCCCATATGTTTTTAACAAGGAAGGATTTGAGGCTTAAGTACAGGAAATCCTGTATTACATAGGATTTCTGGCAGTCTTTGGTAATATTTTATCATTTGCAGAAGAATTTTCTATCATAAGCAGAAATATTTGGTTTTCCACAATAATTATTAGGACACAATTCAGATATGCCCACTGTGCTTTGGTTTGTACAGTATTTAAAAATAAATCAAAATAAAGATAATAAAAATGATTTGCCTATAGAAGAATTCAACTATATTGTCTTTTTTCCTCCTACAGCTTTTGAGGGAGATTACTGGTCCCACTTTTTTCTCCAAAAACAGAAAGAAACCTTGCAAAGAAGTAAGTATCTGACATGTTATTTAATGTTCATGTTGCAGCTCTGAGTAATGGCACTATTCAGCATCAGTTCAATATTGCAGAAGACTTTGTACAAAACATATACTAAAAATAAATTCTTGCCTCAAGGAGAATTGGTTTTAAAGGATTAATTTTAGAAGTTGTAAATGAGGAGTTTTGCCTATTAAAGGGTGGTATTGTGTTTTGTCTGGCTGTGGTAAGTTTAACACTAACTGGAAAATGCTTTTGTCTACCATGCTGCCACGTTTTTGATGCCACAGGGCAGAAGAGATATGAGCAGTTACAGTAACTTTCAACTGGTGGGATCCAAATTTAGAAATTTAGAATTTAAAAAATCATTTTGTTTTCCTTCCTGCAGATCACGGTCTAATAATATTATCTAAGAGTTTACGGAATTGATTCTTTTGAATCATTTCCAAAATCCAGGAAGGAAAGTTGATTCTATATATAGATTTTTTTGAAGATTACTTTAAAGATTACAGATTGCCCTTGTAAATAAATATGGTGTGGGAACAGAATATGGAATAGTTCTTCCTCACTCTTATATCCAAGCAAGGAAGACAGTCTGGATATAGCTCCCCTTCAGCATCCAACTGTAGCTATTGTTGCCACAAGTCCTGATAATTTCCCAGAAGTTCTCTCTCAGCTGTGAAGAAAGTTTGTCTGTATGCATCTTATTCTGTAATCAAAGTTGACTCCAGCTGCCTACTTACTGCTAATTTGTGCTAGTCCTTCTGAGTAAGAAATACAAACAGACGATAAAATACTCTTACTAAAAGTGAAAAATTAGCATTACCACTCCAAATTGCTAAAAAAGGTTAGCTACCAGAAGTGCTACTAGAGCAGTCAATATAATTGTTTGTTTATGATTAATACCATAATTTATAATTTACATTATAATTCATAATTAAAATGGTAACAAAAAATTATACAAAGTACAAATGTTATTATGATTGGCATTTTTTTTAGGCAGAAGTAGCAAACAAAGAATGGCTTATGTTGTGTGTATGCTCTTCAGCTTAAGCATGGAAAGGCTACAGGAAGAGCTTCATTAGTTTATGTTAAAGGGAAAAGTAGATAAATGCATCCCATTAGAAGAATTCAGCAACTCATCTCTGTGTTCTGTCAGCTCTTAAAACCAGAGGAAATGTGGGGCACAGATACACAGAAATTAAACAAAAACCTCGAGGCATCACTTAATTAAAAACTACTCAACAGACGAATAACTGTCATCTGATTTTAAATTTTCCTCAATTATTCATACTCCCATTTGTTACTTTTTTAAAAAATAAGATTGAAGTAACAACAAATAAACTGCATTCTGAAGGCACTCTGTATTCATAGAAATGGACCCCTATTGCACTCTGACCATAATCATTCCCTGGCATCCTCTGAAAAAGCTGGGGTTTTCTGGTCATATCTGTTAAGCACAACATTGAGCCGGCTAGGTTTGGTCATGAAGGATCAACGATAACAATTAGCCGATTCCTATTTTCCAGTTAGACGTTCTGGACAGCCCAGAAGTATGGAAGAGGAGTACTTTGTGTCAACAGGTAACAGCTCACTGGAAAACAGTTTTTTCTACAGAATAAAAACAGCAGTATTCTCCAAACATTACGTCGCTCTTAAAGAGCAAAAATATGTTTCAGCTTTAAAATAATCAATATAAATTGCAGGTAGACATTGCTAACCTTACTTGATAGTTTCTGCTTCTAAGATACAGTCTAAAACATTGAGCTTCATAAAACTAGATAAACAAAATCATTGAGCAATGACAAGCAATGATGTAAGACTGGAAATAGATAAAAAATGATGATTTTACTTACTTCAGTTGTTTTATCAGCTTCAGAGGGACTGTTCAAATGCTCTAAGTAGGTATAGAAATGTCTGTAACATCAAATGCTGGAGTTGTATCTCTTTTCATGATTCATTTCAACCTCCTAATATCTGTCCTTTCAGTCAAGAAGTGATTGTTAAAAATGATACGTGGTTAAAACATTCCCTATATTTGCAATGTTGGTTTGAACTTTGCCACACAAACACAGAACTAAAATAGAGGGGGCTTAAAAGTGGAGTTTTGAAGGCTGTCTTTGGATACTCATGATCTGACTGTGCAGGGAATTCATTACAGTTAGATAGGCACAGATAGCCCCATAAATGTTGTATCTGGGATGCTAAGGTATCTCTTCAGTAGCAAGTTGTTACTTTTACAAACAGATTGAGTAGACTGGAACAAAGTAGTTAACATTGAAATCACCCAACGAGATGCAAGGGTGTTTCTCAAAGCAAAAAGGAAGAAAAGGAGCTCTCCTGCTTACAGTAAATAAGAGTATTGCTCTTACTCCAACTGTTGTTTGACTTCCTGAGTAGAAGTAAAATTTTAAGGCTACAAAAACATCTCTAGAATGTTGTTCACATGATTAATTAATCAGAAACTTATCAGATTTTCCTGTTATCTGTGTTTGAATTGGCAATGAGAATGGATAAATGCACTGCAAGTAGGCCTAAATCCATTTTTCTCATTTACAGTTTTAAGCAAGGATTCCTGTTCTACCTGGGGCGGAGGGCATTTTTCAACTTTTGATAAATATCAGTATGACTTCACTGGGACTTGCAACTATATCTTTGCAACTGTATGTGATGAATCCAGTCCAGACTTCAACATTCAGTTCCGCCGCGGGCTGGACAAAAAAATTGCAAGGATCATTATTGAACTGGGTCCTTCTGTCATCATTGTTGAGAAAGACAGCATTTCTGTCAGGAGTGTCGGGTAAGATTCTGAGCTGAAAGGGAGAAAATATGTCAAAAAAGCAAGAGGCAGTTTCAACAAAGTAGCCTACTTTGTGTCAAAAGTAAATAAACAAAAAATTAACATAGAAGTTAACACTAACTAACTAACTAACTAACTAAACTTCTCCAACCAAAACAGTTCTCACATTGAAACTACGGTCTGCTAGGTGATACTGGTATGCTTACAATAGTTTAAATCTCCTCCACAAGTGCTGCTAAAGATTATACACTTTAGAAGGTACTGAAAATTTTCAGTTCCTGTGTTATGCTTAAAGCTTATTTGATTTGAGACTTGGTAACTCTGAGCTCTCTGTACTAAAGGTAACACATCTAGTGTATAAGAGAAACTCTGAAGTATTCAAGAAACTGAGAAACACTGGAGGGGCTTACATTATCCAAGTATTATGATTTTCAGAAAACAGCTGTTTTACTGAGGAAATGAAACCAAAGTTTCCCATCCGTTCTATCTCAGTCATTCTCCAAAAGCCAAGATTGATCTGGTGTTGGTGTTGCTGATAGCTCTGTTTCAGGTGGAAGCTTGGCCTGGTTAACCATACAAGGTCCTACCTAAACAACATTTCTGTGATTGTATACATGTTTATTGAGCACTTAGAAAAATACCTCAGTTCTTTAATGTTGTTGCTTTACAGTGTTAAAATTCAGCTGCAAGGCTGAAAACTTCCTACAGTATTCCCTTTGTGAGTTTCTTTGACTTGTCAGTCTTTGTTCTTAGCAGTTGACAGGCTATATAGTCTGTAGTTCTTCAGGAGAACCAACATTACTTCTACTTACATAGACCATGCATTGTTTTCAAATGTATATCTTTGCCCTAATAAAACCAAATCAAGTGAAGATACAGAGTCCTACAAAAATAGTATCAGTAGTATAATGTAATGTAATGTAATCATATATAATCATGTAATCATGTAATCATATCTTGGTGATTCTTCCATGAAACAGCTGATACTGATTTCAGTATCTACTGATACAGGAGAAACAATGCATCTCAAAATATTATAGTTACAAAGGAGAAAAATTCTACTTCATAAGTACTAAGATTGCAGTGTGTTTTATGTCTAAAAAAAAGACAGCTAATACCCACATAACAGTGATATGAGAAGCTCAGTTTGTCTTCTCCCACGTTACAGTGTCATCAAGCTGCCTTATGCCAGCAATGGAATTCAAATAGCACCTTATGGGCGCAGTGTCCGCCTTGTTGCCAAGCTGATGGAGATGGAACTAGTTGTCATGTGGAACAATGAGGACTACCTCATGGTTAGTAAAATGCTCTCATGAAGCAGAAAATAAAACTCTCACTGACTTACTGGACTGACAGTTTTTAGATATAATTGGAGCTCTTTGGATGTGCTTACTGTTTGGGTATTTATTCTATTTCTTGTTTCATCTATTAACCTTCTTGCTTTTTATACCTACATGTTTCTTTAAATTCCAGCATTGGTTGTTATCTGAAGCAGTTGATGTTGAGATCTATGGATGTTTTCTTGGACTCTATGCTTTGCTGAGGCTATTTCAGCAGCATAATACAATATATTCCAGCAGATGCTATATTTTACGTGCAGTCCAATTATTTCCTGCAATTTAAGATTTTCAGAATAATTTATTGATTGTAATCAGAAGCAATATTACCAGTTCACTATCTAAAGCAATAAACAAATGAATAACCTTTCTCTGAAAGTAGATTTTCTTCTTGTAACATTGAATTTCCTAAGAGAACAATCCTGAAATACATGCTTTGTCAACAAAGTTACAAAAGAAAACAGCAGCTTTTTATTTCTATTTCTCCAGCTCCTTACAGTATTAGCCTCACTCAGTTAACTGCAAATCTCTTAGAATCTTGTTTTTTCACTGAATAAGAAAAAAAATCAGAACATTCACTACATGCTGATAAGGAAAGCAAGTTACTAATTTCAGAACTCTTCATCCAGTCAAGTCAATGATATTAATGAGAAGGAACTCCTTTAAATGGGTTCTTGAACTGAATTTGTTTGAGAAGTAGTAGTGTGCAGATCATTTTAGTTAGGGTGATTCTTTTTATGTTTCCTTTGATTTTATTTTAGGTTTTGACTGAAAAAAAATACATGGGGAAGACCTGTGGAATGTGTGGAAATTATGATGGCTATGAACTAAATGACTTTGTGAGTGAAGGTAAGATCTAATGGCAGATCACATGGAAGGAGATCTAATCAAACAAAGTCAAGGCAGAATTTAATTCTGAAATTGCTGTGACTGTTCAGTTTTAGAGTTGAGTAGAGCAGCACTATACGTCACCAACAAACCTATCTGTCATACAATTATGCTATGCATAATTATTTGCTGTGGCAATAATGTTATAGGTTCCTCAAACAAGTGATAAGATTTTAGAGTCAAGCAGTAAGAATCATGTTTTCTCACCTAACTTGCAGAACATCCAAGGTTTGTTCTTAGCAAGGTGCAGTGAGTGAGATGACTGCATTAGACAGAAGCAAGAACGAGGCTCTAATAAAAAGAACACAGTGGACAAGAATATTAAAAAGTGGTTTGTCCAGTAAATATGAAACTTTGGAAAAAAAACTCATTGGTGCTGAGAATTTGGCATCAGCCCTGTTTGTGATATAGGGAGTGCCCATCACTCTAACCAGGTCTATTGGAGTGGTATTCATGAGCAGTTGGAGCTCAGTGCCCATGGACCTCTTAAGAACACCTCCTCTAGAGGTTTTTTTTTTATCTGATAACAATTCTGTATACCAAGGCCAATCCACTATGCAAATCAAATTGCACTAGGAATGATAGGAATGATTTGCTTCAGAAGCACACTGCTAATCTGAACTACAAGGCTAGTGTGAAAACACTAAATTGCACCATGAACTGATTCTGAAAATTATTTCAGAATAATTTTTCCAAATGCTATATTCTATACGCAGAAAAGAGCTTTGAAAAGGCTTCAATATTTTTTAGACCGCAATGAGTAAAACCATGTATGTAGGGGAAAACAAGAGTGCAGGATAGGATGAGGAAGCATGAATTAGCCTCTGGTACAAAATTTAACCTCTGGTAGAAAAATAAAACAGCAGTAGCTGCTATCTGGTGAGGTATTTGATGTGATAGATTAGGTAACAACCCACAGATGATCAAGTTTAACTGAAAAAGTTAAACTAAAGTTTAACTGAACAGATTACAGGCAAAGGGCAAAATAACTAGTTGTTATCAGGAAACTAGGTTTAACAGCAACTTTTATAGTCAAGGAATAGAATCTGAATTTTACTCCATCACAGCAACAATTAAATTGAACCCATGTTTTTTTTTTCCTGACAAATTATAACCCTTCAATTTACAGGTAAATTACTGGATACATACAAGTTTGCTGCATTACAAAAAATGGATGATCCATCAGAGATCTGTCTGTCTGAGGAGATATCAATTCCTTCCATTCCTCACAAAAAATACGTAAGAAACATCTTGAATTTTCTGCAGCGAGATAGACAAAGTAGAAGAGAGGCTATGGTTTCACAAATCCACTTTCAAGAAAATAGTTTTTAAAGTTGTATAACATGATACAAGAAAGAAGAGTTCTTTGCAACAAAATACATTTTGAAAAAGGCTCAGGTACTTTTGAATCAGGATTTGTGTCATTCATATAAATATACCAATAGCTCACAGCCTTCTGAAAATTGATGCAGGTCATCACAGGAAATTCATGGAGCTTTAATGAACTTGGTATGAAACAACTAACAACCTGAAATTGTAAGCTGTACAAACTCGAAGACATTCAGAAAAAACTTTCAATATATTGCCAGATAACAGCATTTACAATAGAGTCAGCCACTGTCTGTTGCTATCGCTTCCAGTCCTAGATGGAAAGAAAATCAACGTACCTGAAACATGATGCATCCATATTTACATGTTTGACCAAAGGCAGGCATTTAGTAGCATCAAAGAACAAAAGAGCTTCCATTTCTTAGAATCTGCAGATATAAGAATTAAATCATTCTTAGAATGACCTTCTTGTTTCATCAGGGAAAGTCAAATCATAATTTCCACAGTGAATAGGCATTTCTCTGGGTCCTGTGAGAAAGATTTGTGAAGAGACTTGTAAATATTACTTGTATTCACACTGAAAAAAAAAATTTTGATCTGGTGGGAATTTCTGTTGGCTGGGAGGTTTAAGTTCTTTACATTCTCTTTGCTGTGTTATACTTCAGTAGGCAACATTAAGTATCAAATGCATGCCCAAAGGGGAATGCATGTTGATATATCAACATAGTGATATTTGTCCAGGAACACGTCCCTCTCCCTAATGAATCACCATGAGATAACATATTCTCTCTCTGTGATGTTCTCAACCATTCACAGGGAGATTGATGGCACTAAAATAATGGCTACTGTTCAACTTACGAAGAAGTGGAACTCGTTCCATGCCTATTACTAAGCAAGGGAAAGAAAAAAGCCAACAAGAAAATCATAAGTAGCAGAGATTTCCTTTTCTGGTTTTCAGATGAGGAACATACTACTAGGATCATTTGTTTCCCTTTTTTATTTAGGCCGTGATCTGCTCTCAGCTGCTTAACCTGGTGTCACCAACCTGCAGTGTTCCAAAAGATGGGTTTGTCACTCGTTGTCAGCTTGACATGCAGGACTGCAGTGAGCCAGGACAAAAGAATTGTACTTGCTCTACACTGTCAGAGTATTCAAGGCAATGTGCTATGTCTCATCAAGTGGTGTTCAACTGGAGGACTGAAAACTTCTGCTGTAAGTTCAGATGTTTTATTCATATGAATTGCATTTAATCTCAGCCATGGGTAGTAAATTGATAAAAATGAAATGCTTCAATGGGAACACATTTCTTTTTACTCATGGAAAACTCAGTTAACTTGAAAAAATCTTTGAGATTGGCTACCATATAGATTTTAGCATAAAAGTAGTGAAATCCCTCTTCTAGTTTCAAGGCCTTGTATCATTTCACCCTATCTCCATCTCCATCTCCTGTGTTGTATTCTTCTGTTCTTTTCATCTTCATATGCACTGGAAGTGCTCTTTTTTTTTCTATTTACTGATGAAATTTTTTCATTCTTTCCTCATACATATTGAAAGCTTTCTCTTCTAATTTCCATTACTATCGCCAAATCTTTTCATTTACACTTCTTTCTAAAGTAATTTTTCTTCTTCTCCAACGTTACCCCTCTTACATAAATTGTTAACCCATTTTATTTTTTGGTTGGTTCTCAATTGATTTTAATCTTTCAAAAGAGTCAGTTTCTACAAAATGCCCTGTGGAATTTATAAATATTACTAAGGCACAATATGCACTCACAGAAATATATTATTAATTCTTAATAATCAGAGTGAAACAATAGCAAAGTCTTTTCCAAATCATAGCAGTTTTCATGCTGAGTACTGAGGCAGGGTAAGAGATTATTTATGATAGTTTTCACAACATCTTCTCCATCCCCTGTTGTAGATGAGACATTCTTCTGTTTACATTTTAAAAACCTTAACACTTTGCACTTCTGGTTGTTGCAGCTGTGGGGAAATGTTCTGCTAATCAAATCTACGAGGAGTGTGGTTCTCCATGTATTAAAACCTGCTCCAACCCTGAGTACAGCTGTTCCAGTCACTGTACCTATGGTTGCTTTTGTCCAGAAGGTATCATCTCTGTTTTCATCATATCCTTAATGATCCATTGAAATACTTCTGGTGTAGACCTAGTCAAGTGGAGTAGTATTCTTACACAATGAAACAGAGGTGCATTCCAGGGCGTCGTGCTGCTAGAACTGCCATTTCTCATGTAACAAAATGCAACCAGTGTCACTATCATGAAAGACCCTTGCTTACTATTTGCTAGAAGGTAGTTGAGAAAGCATTTTCCTTACAACTCTATAGCATGTGATGGGATAATTATAAGCTGCTTTCTTATGTTTCTATACTATAATGTAAATAGATTAAGATTTAATTCATTTCCTTTGCTAAATAAGTATCTATCCTTTTAGAGCACCAGCAAAACGTAGTATACCTCTGAAAAGTTCTGCAATATTAGAAGAATTCTGTAAAACCCCTTTAGAATAGTTCAAGGCTAACATGCTTAGAAAAACTGTAATTAAAAAACCATTCTCATCCACCAGTTTTATTCTCTGCAGGAATCTTTCTTAATGACATCTGGTTTTGGAAAGAATCTAATTTATTAGTGCTAAGTGAATACTAAAATATACTTCTGATTTTTGTCTTCTGTGGCAGGAACAGTTCTTGATGACATCTCAAAGAATCGCACATGTGTTCACCTTGAGCAGTGCCCATGTACACTGAATGGGGAAACATACGCTCCTGGTGATACAATGAAAGCAGCATGTAGAACTTGGTGAGTAGCAACAGGTTCTTTAGAGGACGGCGAGCATCTTTATCAAGTAACTTGACAATTTAGCCTAACTTTCCTGAGGGCAGCTAAAAATGTGTCATATCGTCTCTGAGGTCACACTCTTTGAGTGCTAAAAAACAATACATTTTTAACTAAATTAACATGTGCACATCTTATTTCTTGATTCATCTCATGTAGAAATACAAATGTTCTTTTAGATCACGCAAAGCAATAATTTTTTTTTAAAATCTTTTCTAGTAAAATGAAGGTAAAATTAGAATAAAGCAAATATTTATAATTTCTTTCTGGCAGTCTCAGCAGTCCAAATTACCAAATCAGTCCTGAAAACCATGTTTGAATTCTGTAACAGAAAATAACTACAGAAGACAATATTTTTTAATTTTTAAAGTATTATAGCTGTAGAATAATTGTATACTGTTAATTCACTATCATCATTCTGATAAATAAAAAAATAACATAAACAGTCCTCAAAACTGTAACAGTGAACTCACTTTTTATGGATAATATGCTCAGCAGATATTATGACAATCCATGGAAGAGTTCAGCAACTTCAAGAGGAACAACTTCAGCTCATGCACAAACACGCAGAAGATCAAAGCATGGAAGTTGAGGCAAAAAGTGATACAAGTGATATTTTCCACCACTAATAAGTAGTTGACATGTTAGAATGAAGATGAAGACATTTCAGAACAGTAGAAATAAAAGTAAACATTATGTGTGTTACATTGTGTATAGTAATCAATTTACCAAGTTGATCAGCTGCAGAAAAACTCCCAGACAGGAGGATCAAATCATCTTTTCTGATAAATAATCACTTGGAATGAGAATAACCTTACACAGAATTTCTTGTTTTCCTCAGTAAATGTACAATGGGTCAATGGAATTGCAAAGAGTTGCCCTGCCCTGGAAGGTGCTCATTGGAAGGAGGTTCCTTTGTTACCACATTTGATTCTAGATCATACAGGTTTCATGGAGTTTGCACTTACATTCTTATGAAGGTAATTTCCTGAAATCTATAAAGACACAAAATCAAATGGATGTATGTCTGTCTTCAATTTCCTCTTAGAACACAAGCTGAGGTCTTCCAATGCTATGCATTTATTTCACAAATAATTTTTACTGTAACAGACATGAGTTTGCATTATTTTCCTCCAGAGTTCCAGCCTGCCACACAATGGAACCCTAATGGCTATTTATGAAAAGTCTGGTTATTCTCATTCTGAGACATCGCTTAGTGCTATAATTTACCTGTCTACAAAGGTGAGCATTCCCTCCACAGTTTCTAACCAGCTTTTCATTAATCAAGCTAGCAAAATAAATGTTTGAAGTCTGAGCAGATAAAGCGTGGGAAATAGATACTGTACTATACATATATATATATGTATATATACAAATATCTTTGTTGTCTTTTCAACTTATGAAGTTAGGAGAGCTGTGCAGAAGACTACAGCATTTTTGAAATGAAAACTGAAGACAGTATGGGAATGCAAGAAAAAGCTTGAATCAGTCTTTTCCTGTTATATAGGTCATTGAGAATAGTTGCTTAAATTGAAGAAAATATAAATACCACCAGTACAAATGTTTACTTTGGATTCCGTATCCTTTTCATACAGGACAAAATTGTGATTTCTCAGAATGAATTCCTTACTGATGATGATGAACTTAAGCGGCTACCTTACAAATCAGGTAAAGAAATGAAAATATATGCACAGTCTAAATTATATATTATATATTATTGTATATTATTATCTATATATATTATATATTATATTATATATCTATAATTGAATTATGTTACATAGTATAATACATAACACTGTTTTATGTCATGAAATCCAACATCTTTAATCTCGCTATTGCTAGTAACAGTCAACAGGTTTTATAGGAAAATTATAATCTTTTCCAGTTCATCTGTCCCTTTGTGGAAACTTGAATGTGGAAGGAAAAGATGTGTAAACAGAGTGCTTAAACATTTGTATATACATTAAAATCACTACTTACACAGTATTCCTATGCTTGAATATCTCTGTTTTAAAATCTTCTTCTTCTTTTAGGAGACATCACTATTTTCAAACAATCCTCGATGTTCATTCAAATGCATACAGAATTTGGTCTGGAACTCATTGTTCAAACATCACCTGTGTTCCAGGCCTATGTTAAAGTCAGTTCACAATTCCAAGGCAGAACCCTAGGTAAGAAATCTAGTCTCCATGAAAAGGAGACAACTCAGAGAGTGTAATTTTGAAAGCTTAGTACTCATCCTACAAGACATATTTTTTTTATCTGGATTCAACGAAGGAAAACCAACAAAAATAGCTGCGTTGGAAAACAGATAAGCTAAGAATTTCGTTTCTGTAATAACTTTAAAAATCATCAATGGAATTTGATAGGTGGCATTTTTTCATGCGAAATACAAAACTGTTGTTTAGAATTGGGCACATGTGAATCTTATGAAGTTCAAAGCCCAAGTGCAAGGTCCTGCATCAGGGTCAAGGCAATCCCAAACATCAGTACAGACTGAATGACAAATAAATTGAAAGTAGCCCTGCAGAATAGGACTTAGGAGTACTGTTGGATGAAAAACTCAACGTGAGCCAGCAGTGTGCACTTGCAGTCCAGAAAGCCAATTGTATCCTGGGCTGCATCAAAAGAGCAGTGCTAGCAGGTCACCTCCCAGAGAGGAGGCGATTCTCCCCCACTACTCCTCTCTTAGGAGACCCTGCCTGAAGTACTACATCCAGGTTTGGGATCCTCAGCAGAAAAGAGATGCAGACATATTAGAGCAAGTTCAGAGGAAGGCCACTAAATTGGTGGCTAGAGCACCTTTCCTATGAAGAGAGGCTAATAGCGTTGAGATTGTTTAGCCTGGAAAGAGAAGGGTGTTACTGCAGCCTTTCTGAACATAAAGGAGACCTACAAAAATATGAGGAGAGACTCATTGCCAGCGTGTGTAGTCTCATGAAGAAGTGGAACTGGTTCCATGCCAGGGGTAATGGTTTTAAACTAAAAGAGTAGATTTAGATTAGGCATTAGAAATAATTAATTACTCTGAAGATAGTTAGGATACTGAGGCAGGTTTCTCAGAGAGACTGTGGATATCTCCTCCCTGAAAGTGTGTAAGTTTAGGTTCAATGTGACTTTGAGTAACTTTATCTAGAGAAAGATATCCCAGCCCATGGAAGGGGGATTGGAACTAGATGATCTTTGAAGACTCCTTCCAATCCAAACCATTCTATGACTCTATGATCTCTTTTTTGTATGCCTTTTTCAGTATGCGTTGTGAAGGGCAGTGAAGGGCCAATTAATTATCCTGTGTGATCACTACATCTTGGAGCACATAGAGTTTTGAATACAAAGCAAATTCACTGTACATACAGTGAGTCATTCATGAATACAAAAACTTCTCAGCTTATAAGTATCAGACAGAGGCATCTATTTTTACTATGCAGCAACTTTAAATGCAAAGGCATATCCTGTATTTTAGTTATCTATTGGGAATTAGAGATGCTTTGGACATTAAAAATGTCTAAACATATACTCTTGATTTACAGATTTATATACAAAAGAAAAGACCCAGCTTCAAAATATTTCACATCTTTTATCTAACTTGTGACCACTGAAAATGCGTTTTTCGCCAGAAGTAGGACATAGAAATGTTGTGTGAATGGATATCATTGAATACAAGTGGATAATCTTAACCTCAGAAGGCAGAGAGAAGCTCAGTGACTGTACACATAATTAAGATTCTCTGGCTATTTGACCTATTCATATTGATTGACACTCCATCTGAATCTTCTAACACAATTTTCTTACTATTGTAAAAGAATGAAATATAGACCATTGTGTGTATTTTTTAATGTTCATCACTCGCATTTCTGATATTATTAGGTTTGTGTGGTAATTACAATGGAGACACTACAGATGACTTCATGACTAGTATGGATATCACTGAAGGAACAGCTTCCCTATTTGTAGATTCCTGGAGGGCAGGAAATTGCCTTCCTGCTATGGAGAGAGAGACTGACCCTTGTGCTTTGAGTCAGCTGAACAGTAAGTAGATGATCCTGTCGTAACTGATCTCTGCTGCTAGCTTCATCTGCCACTTCCATAAGTCCAAAGAGTATTGAGAGAACCACAGACTGAGATGATTGAATTGACTGAAAATCAAAAATTCAGTCACCAAGATATTTCTCATTTCCAGAGTATACATCTAGTGAAAATTTATCAGATCCTGTATTAGAGGTCTGGGATTAAAGTGATGAATGAGAACTTTCATTGATTTTTCCAATGAAACTGTAATTTCTGTGGATGTCTTAGAATGTCAGCAGTGATGCAACTGAAATCCAGGTCCCTACTGCTATCAGTATTAAAAGGTGCCCAAATGAGCTATTAGAACTATGATATTGTCTTGCAAGACATATTAAGTTGTCCTTTTACTTGATCCATCATTGCCAACATCTCAGCTAGAATAGTGTGTATAATTTTGCTGTTAGAAAACAAAATTACAGTTTGACAAAAGCAGTACCAGCTATAGGGAGAGAGTTCTGAGAAGGCTGGAAAGAATGTCCTGTGGTCTAGAATTTGTGACCAATTGTGAAATGGGACAAATGCACTAAAAGGGAGAATTCAACTGGAAGAAAAATGAATGGAGATTTAGTAGTCCCCAGATCTGCTAAAATGGAAATAGTAGCACCCTCCACACCACTGTTAGAAAGGATAAAATACAATCTGAAATACATTCAATTTTTCTGTTAGATACATTTTCTAATTATGGGCGTAATATTGCTTATAATGACTTGATGGTTTAACTTTATGATCTTGAAGGTTTTCTCCAATCTAAACAATTTTATGATAATGAAGCATTCGAACAGATTGCCCGAAATGTTAAGAAATCTCTATTATTGGAGGTCTTCAGCAATAGTTAGTCAGATGTTAGTCAATGCTAACATAAGCATTTGTGGTATTTCTTTGACAGGCTTGTAAACTAAACAAGCCTTTGAGATCTCTTCCAAGCCTCTAATTTCACAATTGGCAGAGCAAAATCTCCTCCTAATTTTCACTGCTATTTTATGTTCATGACTTTGTTTTACTTAGAAATATCTGCTGAGACTCATTGCTCCATTCTAACGAAGAAGGGTACAGTGTTTGAGAAATGCCATGCTGTGGTAAACCCTACTCCTTTCTACAAGGTAGGAAATTAAGATAGATGGAATACAGAGGAAGCACAAAGATAGACTAGACAGAGCTCATATACAGGACGCCTTTCATTTGGATCAGCAATGCATAGAAGCTAAGAAACAAGCATATTCTTTTTAAATAAACCTCCACTGTAATGGAAGTCTACTTGGCCTTATGCTACCAATCCTATCCCTAGAATTCCATGGACCATGCTTTCAGACATATCATTTGACTTTGGGGTGGTCTTATGCAAAGCCAAGAGGTGGACTCCATGATCACCGTGGGTCCCTTCCAATTCAGATTTTTTTATAATTCTAAGAATGAGAAAATATTTTTGCTCCTGCTGCAATTTTCCTTTTCAGAAATGCTAACTACGCGAAATATTAGCTTTCCCTGCTGCATAATTGAATTTCTTCTATTTGCCAATCTCCATGAAACATTTTGAAAATTAAAAATGGAAAGCATTGAATAAACTAAATCTTTTCAGTACTAAGCATATTTTACTATCTATCAGGAAATTTATCCGATCATTTTCATCTGTTTTAGTTATGCAGAACTATGTATTTTGCTTCACTTACCTCAGTACTGTTCAGTACATTTAGTACTTCCAAATGCCTGCTCCCAGTAACAGAATAGTTCCCTTGTGTTGGGTTTCAGAGATGCGTCTACCAAGCCTGTAATTATGAAGAGACCTTTCCTTATATTTGCTCTGCTCTGGGATCATATGCACGAACATGCAGTGCAATGGGTTTAATCCTTGAGAACTGGAGAAACAGTATGGACAATTGCAGTAAGTAATTCAACCAATGCATTTCTGCTACAGATCTACTAGAAAATGCCCAGATTTGCTTCACCTGTTATAAAAACTGAACAAGAATGAGACAATATTTTATAACTACATTAGCCATTAGAAAATAACTACTTATTACTTGAGAAGACCAACTAGCAGGTATAAATGCCACATTCACATGAACTGATGGCTTTTAGAATTGTGTAAAAATATTTCTGCATAGTTTCCCCTGGTATTATTTCATTCCGATATACAAAGAGGCAATAAGATGTTATATAACCTTCAAAAACTTCCAAGCAGCCATATTAAGATTTGCTCTGAAATATTGTTTACTACAGCTCCACATCCTCAGGAAAAAAAAAAAGCAATAGCTAGCCTTAAGTATTGAAGTTATGGACAGAATATATGCAGTACATTACTGTGAGCCCAGTTATCTTTCATAGGGAAAAAGACAAGGAAACGAAGTTCAGCATACACTCTCCTCTTGTTTTACAGCCATTACTTGTACTGGCAATCAAACATTCAGCTACAACACTCAGGCATGTGAAAGGACATGCTTGTCACTCTCCAACCCAACCCTGGAATGTCACCCAACTGACATCCCAATTGAAGGCTGCCATTGTCCTAAAGGGATGTATCTGAACCACAAGAATGAATGCGTTCGTAAATCCCATTGTCCCTGCTATTTAGAAGATAGGAAGTACATCTTACCTGATCAGTCAACAATGACTGGTGGCATAACCTGGTAGGTGTATCGGATTTAAAGATGAACAAATACAAAATGAAGAAGTGTCTTCAAGTGTCTCTGCTGTGGGCTAACCACAGTAGGAAGCTGAGCATCACACAGCCTCTCACTCACTCTTCCCCAGCAGGATGAGGAAGACGGAAGGGCAAAAGCAAGAAAATTCGTGGGTCACTATAAAGACAGTTTAATAACTTTCTTTGTTTTTAATATGTAAAAATAAACTTTCTTAATAAGCAGAGTGGTAAGCACAAACAAAATAAGGATTCATTTACTGCTTCTCAGCAGGCAGATATTTAGCCATTTCCAGGAAAGCAGAGCTTTTTCTGATTGCTTGAGAAGATAAGTGCTGTAACATCAAGTGACTACCATTTTTCTTCTTTTCCCAGATGTGTTGCTGAGCACAATGTCATGTGGTATGAAATGGTCTTTTGGGGTCAGATGCCCCAGCTGTGGCTCCTTCTAACATCTTATGCATCTCCAGCTTATTTGCTGGTGGTGTGGCATGAAAAGAAAAGGCAGCTTTGAGATTATTCAACAATAGCCAAAACATTTGTTTATCAATGCTACCTTGATCAAAAATCCAAAATATTTCACTGTGTAACTACCATGAAGAAAATTAACTGCCTCCTAACTAAAACCAGTGCAGTCTCCACTATTTTAATAGCAAAAAAATGTTAAGATCTTTTTGCCACTTCCTAAAGTACAAAAATTCTTAAACAGAAAACATCTGATTAACCTTATGCTTGGAAACTTTAAGGAAAAAATTAGGAAATAATTGGTAAAATCTTATTATTCCTAGTTGAGGGTAGTAGGAGATTTTGCTAATCTTATCTGTACAGTTGTATACAAACACCAAGATTGCCCAACCTTCACTTTTCAACACTGTGTTTCTGTATACTACTAATACTAAAGAGAGGCAAGTTGATTCACATTCCATTTTGAAGCAACACAAATGAAGCACTTCCAGTGATGAAAAACAAGAAGTAATTTTGCTGAAAACCTAAATTTATTTCTTAGGAGAGAACTGCATCAAAATTCCTTTCCTTTTTTTTTCTTTCCCTCCAGCTACTGTGTTAATGGGAGGCTAAGTTGCACTGGCAAACTTCAAAATCCTGCAGGTATGAGTCTGATATGGCTTACTTTGAAATACATTCTTTTCCACTATAAAATTGTTACTTCAAAATCTCCCATGTTTGTTTTTTCCCTTTCTCATAGAAAACTGCAAAGCGCCTAAGAAATATATATCATGTTCTGACAGCTTGGAAAACAAGTATGGAGCTGCATGTGCCCCTACTTGTCAAATGCTGGCTACTGGAATTGAATGTGTAAGTTTCACAGCCCTGTGATATTAATCCTCTAGGAGAGGAAGAACTTGAGAATCTTGGGAAGAATTCAGTTTCTTCTAGTGAAATGAGAGGAGGTATCTCTTCTAACATGATATGATTGATCACCAGTCTTTTTTCCACCGTGTGGACAATAAAAAAGTACACACATTTAAAAAGTGAACAAAGGAATTGAATTAAATGAATTACAAAATTAAAAATCCACTAAATATTCTAAAATATATGATTATCACCTCTGGCTCAAGTACTCCATAAGTTGCATGTCACTAGAAACCCATAGAACATGTAGTATATGTTTTCTGTTCCATTCTTTCCAAAGTATCTGCTGTTGATGATTGTGGAGTGCAGGAGACCTAAGTTAGGTGGGTCTATCTCTGAAGAGTTTTCTTTTCCTTTTATACTGAGGAAACAGACTGACTGAAAGAACTGTAATGTCATAGGGTACCTTGATAGTAAAGAATCCTATATTGTGCTCTGTTTGTCTGAAAGATTGTTAGCAATGAGAGACATTTCTCAGAGTTTTCAAGTATGTTTAGTATCTCACACAGTAGGTATATCTTGTAACTTCAGTGAAAGTAATTAAATTGATTAGTATATTAGCATAAGGAAAATCGTAACATTGAAATCAAATAAAAAATAGAACTGATTATAGATTCACCCTTAATGTGAGTCACACACAAAATAAAATACATCTTGTATCCCTTTTCATTCTGTAATCTGTTGATCTTTACCAGATTCCTACTAAATGTGAATCAGGCTGTGTCTGTGCTGATGGGCTATATGAAAATCTTGATGGCAGGTGTGTTCCAGCTGAAGAGTGTCCTTGTGAATATGGAGGCCTTTCATATAGAAAAGGTGAACAGATCCAAACTGAATGTGAAATCTGGTAAGAGTCAAACCATTTTCCACTGCTGAATCTCAGTTTCACTAATTTGTGCAGGTATATAACAAAGGTGTTTAGTTGACAGGAAAATAAAAATAGTTCAGCAAAAAAATAAAAAAAAATAGTTCAGCAAAAGCTGAAAGATGAACAGAAGGAATACAGTGACAAAGCATAGAGGTGGTAAATAGAAGCTAAAATTTGCCAGTATGTTTGTATAAATAAGTCTGACAATAAATAAGTACAAACAAAAGAGTCATGATCTAGTAGTCATCTGTATGGGCTTCGGGAATATTTATGCCACCTCTGTATCCAGGGAATAAGGGCATCCATTAGGGACTTTAACTGTAAACTGCATAAGGTCAAAAATTATCAACTCCACCTAAATAAAGATGAGGGCAATCTTCCTTCCTTTCTGTAGATAAAAACAGCTTCCCAGAAAGATTACTTGCATCTCTTCAGCTGCATTCTCAGAGCACTTTGTTCAATTTCTGTTTTTTAATGTAATATTACAAACACCAGCACCCAAAGCATCATAACTGTGACATCTGTTCTCATCAGCAACTGAAATAAACAAGCACATATTCTTTCTTCAGTGGAAAAGAAAGCAAAAGAGACTTAACATATTTACTTAATAATGAATTTTCTCAGTAATCCATAATTTTTATTTATGGTTCTTATATTAAACGTTACTTGGTCACAGTGTGCACCAGACTATTAAATGAATGTCATATCTATAAAACTGTATGCATGTAAAAAGAAATAAGGTGGTATGTCTTTAGAATCTAATTATGGTTTCTCTTTGCACTCTCAGCACTTGCAGAAAAGGCAAATGGAAATGTGTTCAGAAATCAAGATGTTCCTCAACATGTAATCTGTACGGAGAAGGCCATATCACCACTTTTGATGGACAGCGTTTTGTGTTTGATGGCAACTGTGAATACATATTAGCTATGGTAATCTGCATCTTACTGATGCTTTTGGCTGTATCTTAGTATCAAGAAGTACCTTGTTTTAAAAGACTGATGAAAATATCCTGGGATGTACTATATCCATTAAAGCACTTTGAATCTCAATAAGCACAAGAAGTGTGCTTATTTTCTACATATATACAATTTTAAAATAAAAAATGTTTAGTTCACAAAATGAAATTTTTAATGTGCGTGCAACCAATTTTAGATTAAATAACACTTAAAGTCATTGCTGTGTACATCTTCGGTACCAGTCAACTGTGTCTTTCAGTGATGTCAGTTTCTCTACTGAATCAGAGGTCATCACTATTACTTCCCAAAACAGTGAGGTAACTCTCTGTAACTTTTTCACTTCTGACTACAAATATGTGGTTTCTACGAGGAATAGAATGGTTCAGTTACCTAAACCATAAAATATCCCAGGATCTATCTATTAATAGCAAGCAGTGGATTTTAAGACATTCACAGATGGACTATCTCTCATATGAGAGTAAATAAAGATGGCCTGCTGTACTGAAAGGCAGAATCACAGTCATGACACATTTGTGCTTTCTATACTTTCTCGTGCTTCTAAGTTGAGAGACTTCAGACACAGAGTCTATTAAATCTTTATGCATGTGTTTTTATCTTTTTAGGACGGCTGCAATGTTAATAGACCTCTTTCCTCTTTTAAAATTGTTACTGAGAATGTCATTTGTGGGAAATCAGGGGTTACGTGCTCTAGATCCATCAGCATTTACCTTGGGGTAAGATCCTCATTTTACTGTTACTCCACAGAATAGCCATTTAAGGCCATACTTGTTTTACTTCTGGACACTTCAGGTATGTCTTGCATGTGAAATTATGTGCTTAGCCTAGAGCTTCAGTTTTAGTAGGAAACTTTAGTAGGCGTATTTTTTATCAGTTCTCATGTCAGTGTTTTAGTCCTTCAGCCTCTTCCCTTAGAAGTCATTAAATTTTTAACTTTACCCACCCTGCCAAAAGACAGTTGTTATTTTTTCTCCCAAGCTCAAGAAAGCAGCAGAATAAAACTGAGGAATTCTTATCACGGATGATCTACAAAACTACACCAAATTTCTCTTAGTTTGGATAGTACTTGCCAATTCAAAATATTTCCAGATCTCTACTATCCTACTACGTGACGTGTATCTGTGAAATTACAGCAGTGATCAGTAATCCCTATTTTCACTGCTGTCTGACAGCTTCCAAAATTAGTTAACTTTTGCAGTTCTCAGCTATATTTGAACACTAATGCACAATATTATCTTCTCACCTTGGAGTCTTTCATTGTAATCAGAGAGTAGTTTATGGACAGCTGAGTTTTTACCCCAATGAACAGTCACTACAAGCAGTACACGTTTGCCATTTTACTGTGTAGTGGCACTTTTAGCTCATCAGTGCTGCACTTAGGATCTAGTTTCTAGTGCATACACCCCCATGCAAACCTTTCTACTGATTCTCTAGACATTGAAACACTATGGTATGATGTGAGTTATGTTTTAAAGTACACATGAGAGCAGGAGAGAGTAAGTAGAAGAGCCCAAGTGATACACTGACTTTCTCTGCAACTTTTCTGTTATTTCTAAGAATACATGAAGATGAACCTCCTCTGCTCTGCTGGATGCAGATGGCTGGCTGGCTGGCTGTAATATATGCATAAAATGTGATCAGAGTTCTAGTATACCAAACAATGAGACTAAAACAATACATTTTTAAATATTTCCTATGAAGATTTGCATTTAAATAAAAAAATTCCACAGGAAATAAAAGCCAATCATTTTAAGATAAGATGACAATCCAGGGAAACTCGCTTACCTTCATCACTGCTGACAGTAAGTTATTCTGAAGTTTCTGGCTACTGTAAAAAATGAGAAGATTTTCTATAGCAGTACAGTATCTGATCTGCAACAATGATTCATGGAAAGTAAAAAAAAAAATACTGAAACTTGATAATTTATAACATGTGCACAACTTTTCTTCCAGAACTTGACTATTATACTGCGAGATGAAACCTTCTCTATTTCTGGGAAAAATCTTCAAGTGAGGTATAATGTGAAAAAGAATGCCCTCCACCTGATGTTTGATATCATTATCCCAGGAAAATATAACATGACTCTTGTATGGAATAAGCACATGAACTTCTTCATCAAGATCTCCAGGGAAACACAGGTATTGCAGAATAACTTCTTCAGTAAACTATACTTCATTCACATTGACCTGCTAGTTTAATGATGTTTGTCTTCACTCTGCATGATGGCAAAGGTTAGTAGCAATTCATTTTCTACTCATTATCTCCGAAACAGCAGATATTTTCACTAAAGGCTGATTTTTGTGATTATCCTTTGGCATTACAAGAATTTTTTGAGCTAAGATTTTATATTTTATGCAACAACTGCATGTTTTGGTTGAATTTGGTCTCTAAATTATGACAACTTACATTTGAGATGAGAAACACATCCACTGATGAACAGGACTTCCTGCACAATTTGCAAAGAGCGTGTGAGAGAGTATTTGTAGATCACAGTCACTACTAAAGTAGGAAAAAATGCCAGTAATTGAAAGGGAATGAAAGTAATAATAATCAACTGACAGTGCTTTCATTTTATCCAGGAAACTATCTGTGGTTTGTGCGGAAACTATAATGGCAATATGAAAGATGATTTTGAAACCCGAAGCAAGTATGTGGCATCAAATGAACTGGAATTTGTGAATTCTTGGAAGGAGAATCCTCTCTGTGGGGATGTATACTTTGTAGTGGACCCCTGTAGCAAGAACCCTTATCGTAAAGCTTGGGCAGAAAAGACATGTTCCATCATCAACAGTCAAGTCTTTTCTGCCTGTCACAATAAGGTAAGAAGTAGTTAGGTCTTCTCTTTAAGTCAGGTATCAATCCTCATAAGCCATGTGTTGTAACACGTATATCATGAGATTTATCAGAACCAGGCTTTCTGAAGGAAGATCTGCATTTTCAGGAATTGACCACAAATGATAAATACAGCTGATACTGCAGTGGTCATGCATAGCTGTGGAAGTTGTAGTGCTGGTGAATTTTAGGTACTTCTGCCTGAATGGATGTGGGTTTTTGTGGTTTGTTTGTTTGTTTGTTTTTTTAATTTCTTTTTTAACTGATTAAATGTATGTTCAGTATGAATTTAGACATACATATCTAGAAAAACCTCATGAACTTCTATTATTAGTTGGAAAATATCTACATTCTTGTTAAAAAGAGTTCTTTGAAGTTTGACTGTTTTGACAAGTGTTCAGTGGAAATACTAGTTACTCTTACTTCAATGGAACAGATTCTCTTGACTTTCTCATATGCCAAAAGGGACCTATAAAAAACATCTTCTGATAAAATAGGCACTGAAGAATTCAGAAAACTCATTACTTCACTTTCCAATACAGGTGAATCGTATGCCCTATTATGAGGCCTGTGTCCGAGACTCATGTGGTTGTGACATTGGAGGTGATTGTGAATGCATGTGTGATGCCATTGCAGTGTATGCAATGGCCTGTTTAGATAAGGGAATCTGCATCGACTGGAGGACTCCTGAGTTTTGCCGTAAGTTTCTTTAAGATTTCCTAAAGGCAGTTTAAGAGACAATTATTGCTAATGTGAGTATAGTATTACAGCAACACAAGAAATGGCTTATATATGCACTTCCTGTGTTTCATTCTCTTTATGGACAAATAGGTGACTTCAGTCACTTGAGTTTTGGACGCTGTACTTTTTCTTTGCTCTAAAGAAACAAAATGTTATGTCTGTACTGTGGAATGATGAGAAAGAAAATGAAGTAACCACAGAAGGCATTTTATTTTTTTCTGCTGTCAGTGTATGATGAGCAGTCAGTTTGTAAGCAGAAAAAATATGAAATTGTAAAAAAAAGACTGTTGTTTTTGGCTGCGATGAATTCATCTTCTGTGTGAATGTCAAGGGAATAAAGACAGCTGTGTTGGCTAGAACACTGTGAAACAGGAAAATATCAGTGTGTCCTGACACCATACATAGAGGAAAAGAGAGAGTGAGGGGGTTATAAATCAATGCTGAAGTTGTCATCATTGATAGTTTCTTTTCAGTATTCACTGTATTATGCATTAAAATTATGGAAAATCCTGCACAGTTAACTCACAAAAAAAGAAACTGACTTGTATCACTAAAGCAAATTTCAATTTGCACATCATACTGAAAGTTCCAGTGGCAATTTTTTTTACTCAAGCTGCTGATAAATTTTGTCTTCCCTTCAGTCCTTTGAAAACAACGTTCTCTCTTTGAAAAATTCTGACCTTTCTCCTGGTTTTGCCATTTCTAGCTGTCTACTGTGAGTATTACAATTCTCACAGAAAAACAGGAAGTGGGGATGCTTATTCCTACGGCTCCAGTGTCAACTGCACCTGGCATTACAGACCTTGTAATTGTCCAAATCAATACTACAAATATATGAACATTGAAGGTAATAAGCTATACTATTTCAAACCACAAAGCAGCAACATAATTATTTTCCATGGTGTTTTTTTTTCCATATCACAGTTAGTAATGTTTTCACAGATGTTACCTTTAAAGCAGTTTTGCTTTCTTTATCTTACCTCTAATGCTTTAAATGCATAATTTGTTCAGTACCTGTACTACACCTGGCTTTATATTGAACTCAGGTTATCACGAAGATAAATCCTCTGACCTGTGCTAATTAAAATTACCTCTCCTTGAGTAAGAAAAGGTCTGAAGAGAACAGTATTATTTCTATTAGAAAAACAAATATGATTGGAGAACTCCCCAAAATTTACTACATATGCAGTTCCTTCTGAGGATTACACTGGAGATGCTTACCTGAATGTATGAAGTTACAATCAATACAATTTCTTAGTAATAGAAATTTAAGATTTTGGATTATACATAGTATAGGGTAAACGCTGTACTCTGAGGAATGTAAAAAGAATTTATGTTTCCTTTTCTTCAGGCTGTTACAACTGCTCTCATGATGAATATTTTGACTATGAGAAAGAAAAATGCATGCCATGTGGTAAGTAGAGCCCTGTATGCTCATCCTTTTTCTTTACAGTAACTAAAACCTTCGAGTGTTGACAAAGAGGATACTTTCCCTAGTTACTTCTCAGTTAATGATTACCATTCATCCCTGTATAACTTTTCTTCAAGATAATCTTATTGTTGTACTACTGGTATGTAAAACTAGTAGACTTAACTTAGCAATTCCCTTTAAGTTCTGTGGGTTTTTAGAATTATTTAACTTAAGATTTATTAGTGTGCAGTGTCCTACTCCGAAAACCTTTCATAGTAAATAATGTTGTGGATGGCCTCCCGCTACAATTTCGATTTCCATGAAGATGTAAAATTAACAAAAAAAAAACCACCCTCAATTACAGTTGTTTATTTCATTTAACAGAATTCTTACTTGTGAAACCAGAATTTCAGCTACTGATCTTATTTACAGATAAAAAAGCATTTCCATTATCCCTAGAAAGTGAAGTGCCCTTAAACAGAAATATGCTCATGTTGATTTGTATTAAGAGTTGTATTAAGTTCTTCATTATTTTTTAAGTAGTTTCATGTGAAGCTTATCACCAATATATGTAGAAACAAGCATTTTCAGGTTTATCACACTAATTAGCACAATCCTTTGAAAAGACCTAATTTTTCTTCCTATCTGAAATTTGCCTTATTTGGAATATTCTTAATATGCTTCCAACTAAAAATGTAACCTGTTCTACTTCTATGTCACAGGAGATGAAAGTATTAGTGCTACTCCAGAAACTTCTTCACCTTCAACAGGTTAGTTTAAGCAGTTGATTGAACAAGTACTTACACACTGGTGTATGTCCTGATCCTTGTTTCTGAGATAAGAAGTACCCTTTTTTTGCTTGATATAATGGTATCACCAGTTTTGAATGTGTAAGATGCAGTAACACAAAGTCAGTATCATAATTATCACAAAAAAATTCCCAGAAATATTTGTGTACACTGAGGCACAATTTCATTAGTAATGAAATTTTTTTTAGTGAGTATGGATTTCTGTCTTCTCCCTGAAACACAAAATCACACAAAATGTTCACTACAATTTTAAATGGTGATTGGCTTTATAACACTTAACAGTTCAGGAAGCTGGTCTTGGAAGTGCGTGACCAAGTACATCAAGCTCCAGTAGCCTGATCCAGGAAAGGAGCCTGTATTTACTGATCTTTGTTAGAAATTACATTACTTTCATTAATGAAAATGAGAGTTACTAGGAAAAAGGTAAAGAGGTGGTTTTATGAATAAAGCTTCTGCAAGAATTCCTGTTCAACATATTCGCTGCAAATAACAATAAAGGAATAGATCAATGAATTTTCTTAAATATTTGAAATTAAGGTAGGAATTATTTTCAATTGTTACTACTGGTAGTAGTTTTTCATTCTAAAAATAATTTTCAAATTTCTATAGGAACATTTTAATAGATTATGAAGAATTATTTCTTATCCTCTGATTTTGATTTTTTTTCCTCTTAGTAACAGCAATGCAGCCTAAAGCAACAGGAATCTCTACTGCAGTCACATTATCCACAGCTACCCAATCAACATCACCTAGTACTTCTTCTGCATCTACTGTACCAACTGAGCCCAGAAATCTCACTGTAACCTCAAAAATCACAGTCCCAAGAACTTCTTCATCATCACCTCTTGTCACAATGAAGTCAACAACCGGTAAGTTATTGTACTATTGTCTAAAACAAATTACATCAAACACATTCTATATAGAGTTGAGCTATCATTACACTAGGAAGGCATTGCAAGCTGTCTCAACATCCAAGCAAGAGACTGCAGATTAGAAGGTAGGTAAAGTAGGCTTCCAGAAAGCAGTTTAAACCAAAAATGTTCGGAAGCATGGATGGAAAGTGTGTGGAAAGAGAAAGAAAAAGGATATAGATGACAGGTTAGAAATGCAACTCGAATAACTTGTTGTGACTCATCTGAGAAGAATGTTAGAAGTGAGCAGTGAGCCAGCTCAGCTGCAATTGGATTTATTAGTTCAGTTTCAACCTCCATTACACAGCTGGTTCAGTAACACAGTCACACAGTCATGTTCAAATAGCACCCAGTCTCAAAAATCCAAATAATAACATAAGCAGGCTTCAAGGCAAAATCACAGAGGTATCAGTGCAGTGACTACTATTCTAGGATCCTGCTCTCAGCAGGATGACTTTTCCAGCATAAATTATTTTCCGATTATATGATTTGTGGATACTCATAATGGCATGCAGCTTTCCACCAACATGCACTCCAACTAAAAAGCCATACTGGACCCAGGCTATCAGAAGAAAACAGAGGTAAAAAGAGGTCCCATTTCACAGGACAAGAACTGGTACAAGGAAGGTCCTACAGTATGATGTTATTTAGTTTTGTAATATGGATTGTAGAAGGCTAATTCAGAATATAAGGTTAGCCAGTGACACTGTTATTTGGGCAAAGCCTATAGAGGCTTTTGCTAATAAGTGACAACAAAGCTAACTTTTAGAAATATTATACGAAGAATGATTATAGGAAATCACAGGAAATAATAGAAAAAGATGTACAAAATGAGAACAAAGAAAAATATGAGGTAAGAGAAAACAAGTACAGGTAGGAAAGGGTGCCATTTAGATTAGGAGAACATAAATACAGACAATCATTTAATGTTTTGACATGCAAAACATTAAAAAGATCCAGGGCAAAAAACTATGTCTTGTGAACATGGGCAGTTTTTCATGTTTTGTCTATTTTAATTATTACATAAATTGATTACTCACATGATATTCCTTACCTTTTACTCCAAAAGAACATACAACATCAATTTTTGCTATGCCAAGCATGACCTCTACAGTAACTACACCTTCCATAACTACCTCAGCGAAAGGAACCATCTTCACTGAACCAAAATCTACAACTACTGCCTCAGTAACCATTGTTACAACAGAGACAGAAAAAACAAGGTTCACTACACCACTCTTAGAGACTACTGTCAAAGAAGAAATGACAACCATCTCAGTACCTTATACTACATCTCAGATTGCAACTTTCAGCAAGCCTGAACTAACAACAGTAGGTAAGCATAAAAAAAACCCAAAAACATTCATTCTTACTAGATGTTTTAAAAGTGCAAATTAGTGAGAAAGGAAAATGATGACTGATGAATTGTAATAAAAATGAAAACTTCAGCGTCCTGCCAATGCAGCGAGCATTGGACATCTGAATAAGATCTTAAAACCAACATTTCTCTCAGAGGCCTTTCTCTATCTATTCACTTCCTCCAAGGAAGTAGATTAAGGTAAAAATCTTTCTGTACTTTAAAGTGAGTTTTCAAAGACAAACATACAGATGTGCATTCTCCTTAGACAACTTCTCCAAAAAATATAAATCCTGTCTGTCACAAAGGAAGTGGTATTTTGGGAAGCCAAGTATGCCATATGTCAACTATGACAGCTTCTTCTATTGCTGTATACCTACATTAGCCACTGAGACCAGAGTCTGGGACAGCATGCAGGGAGAAGTCAGCTTTGAGAAGGCACCTGCACACTATCTCCCAGTCCAAACATCTCTCACCCGTACTGTTGGGGTGCATACATTCAGGTCTCCTTCTGCCAACAACATTGGCTTAGTCTGAGAAAGCATCACAACCCACTTTTATTAGGTACCTTCCCAGACATTGAGCATTACTGAATATCCATTTTTCCTTACATTGGAGAGAGTGAGGGAAATCAAGCAACCACTCTGCACCACCAAGTTTCAGTAGGTGACTAAGAATGATCTGAAAACTGTCATTGGCCTGTGACTGTGTTTCACTTACCTAGCTTTTTCTTGGGATGCCCATGCCCAGCTTGGAGTGCCTTTAAGGGAGATGCACAAATCTGGAGAGGTTGTTCTTCTTCCCTCAGGAGGTCAAAGAGGCATAGGGTGCTGAACGGGCCCAGTTCTTACCCCATATTTCTGTGGAGAAGCAGAAAAGGGAATGTGAAGGCAGAAGCCCCTGGTCTGTTTTTCCTTTCTGCTCAGCAAGACTGAGTGAGATCCAGGCCTGCCTTTTGTGCTCCATCCCCAGCCCTCGTATTCTGCCTAGGATCTTTGCATTCCCTCCATCTTCCTTTCTTGTCCTGCCACCTTCAATTGACTTGTGCCTTCCTTCCAGTAGTTGTAACCCACAAAAGACCAACCATGCCACACACTGTACCACATCTCATCACACAGAAGACCACCCCAATGACACTGTCCAGCAGCACCTCTAAGACCTTTGTCTCCACAGAGGCCAGCACCACCAGCAGTACAGAAGTTCCTCTGACAAGGATACCTGTGAGCCCCACCTCTTTACCTGCCACCACAGCTGTATCTGTTTCTTTCCCCTCATCTCCATCCTCAACACGGCTGAGACCATCACATCCAGGTAATGCTGCCACCTGCTCCTTCAAGCTCCCACCCTTCTCTTCTGAGTGTCATGTTACACAAGTTTCACTTTTGATATTCATTTTCTATTCCTATTCCTCTTGCCATACCACTCAAACTCAGGCAGTCACATTGCCCCTAATTATGTCCTTCTCCCTTGCTGCTTCAGGCATTTGACTCTGGGGCACAGAGCTTTATCACCCTACAGCCTTGTTTGAGTTTCTGCCCAACAACTAGCAGGTGGAGACCAGTTTACCCACAGGCCCTCCTCTTGTAGCAGTGCTGTAAGAGAGTGGGGGGAATAAAAGGCAGTGAGAGTGGAAGATTACAATTCTAGGATAGTTTTTGGTGAGAGAGAGAATACAAGTATGTTTTCCATACAAAGGATGCCTAGGCCCTGCACAGCAATGGCAAACTTGGGCCAACAAATGCTGCCTCCTTGCTGCGCAGATAAAGAAACCAGGTGCTGATCCTGGGTGCAAAAATATCACCAGTGGAGGGGTGGGCAAGAAGATGCTCAAACTCCAGGGTACATTTCCCCCACATAGACCTATAATGCTCCACATGCCCAGGTCTTCATGGTGTTGACCAGGACAGTCTCCTTTCAGAAGATGCCACAACATGCTTCACATAGGATTCTTCCCAAGACTCAACCATCATTTTTTCTCATCACTTTCTTTGTAGCAAGGAAGCCAACCAGAGCTTAGACTGCAACTAGTAAAGTAGTAATGAATGAATGCTCTGGTCAGGAAAGAGATATTAATGCCTGTTCCATCAGTAACCTCAGCTGCTCCAGGAACTCTACCCAACACACTGCGAAACAGACATGATCCATATTCATATATATACATATATATATATTCATATATATATCCATATTTAGCATGTATAGTAATGAGACCAATCAACTTCTGATTTCCAATGGCAGCCTCCAAGACAACTGTGCTGCCTCTCACCACAGAGAAGACTACCCCTGTCACATCTTTCACCAGCACCTCCAAGACTTCTGTCTCCATTGAAGCCAGCCCCACTACCAGCCCAGAAATCCCACTGACAACATCTCCTGTCCTCAGCAGCACCCTCAGCACCAGGCTACCAACTCCTGCCCCATCAACACTCTTCTCCACCTCACCTCCAATCTCCATGCCAAAAACAATTCCTACAGCGCTAAGACCCAAGCCTTCTTCCCCAACAACCAGTGCTTCAACAGAGTTGCTGATACCTGCATCCTCCACACCCTCCACAGCCAAAACCAGTCTGCTGTCATCATCAGCATCTTCCCCTTACTCAACTATGTCCTCGACAGCACTAAGCACATCACATCTCGGTAAGTCTCCCCCTAGTCCTTCCCAATTCTACTCCTTCTCACTGCTTTCCCAGTACTTCCCCTTTACTCCTGATGTACAGTATGCACCCCAGGGTTGTCACCCACACTCTCAGCACCAGACTGCCATTTCCTGCCCCATTTACTCTCATCTCTGCCTCTACTCCAACTTCCATGAGAAAGCCCACACTACAACACTGAGACCCAAGCCCTCTTCTCTGACAACCATTGCTCCAATAGAGTCACCTACAGCTGCATTCTCTGCACCCTTCACAGCCAAAACCAGCCTGCTGCCATCATCTGTTTCTTCCCCCTTCTCAACTGTGTCTTCCACAGCACTGAGAACATTGCATCCCAGTAAGCCTCCCTCCTGCCTTTCACATTCCTCTGCCTGCTCTTCCTAGTTTTTGCCCTTCATTTCTCATCTACTGTGGACACCAATTTGTTGTCACGCTCCTTTGCCCACTGGTGGTGGGCATTTCTGCTTATGGTAGTTGTGGTGTCGTGCTTGTTTGGATGGAGTGAGCAGCACAGCTGAGTGAAGGCTTAGCTGCTAACAAAGGTGAAGTCACCACAAACTGCCCTTCTGCGAAGCTCTCTCAGCATTTTGTCATCAGGGATTTTGGGGAATTCAGGGTCACTGATTTCTCCCTTGAGTTGTCCCATACTCAGCTTGATGCATGTAGGCAGAGCCTCTGCCTGTGTCTTGGTTGAGACAGGCACATGCAGAGAGGCTCCTCTTCTAGTGAGATAGAGTGAAATGCTAGGGGGCATTCCTGAGGTGCTGTCCTTGCTGCAACTTTCTGGACAGGAGAAGGATGGAGAAGAAAAGGGCAGAAGCCACTGGCCCTTCCTTGACTCTTGCTCAGTGAGAGCGGTTGTGGCATGGCTTTATTTCACTGCCCACATATGTGCTTTTCTATGGGAACAGTCCATCTCCTTTGCCATTTTTTTCTTGCTCTGCCACTCTCAGCTGAACTATGCTTTCTTTATGCAGCATCCACTCACAAAATGACAACTGTGCCACCCATTGTGCCTCCAGTCACCACAGAGAAGACTACTCCCACTGTGTCTGCCACCAGCGCCTTTAAGACCTCCATCTCCAGTGAGGCCAGCCTGACCAGCAGCCCAGAAGTCCCACTGACAACGACATCCCCTGCTCCCAGTATCACTCTCAGCACTAGCTTACCATCTGCTGCTCCATCCACACTCTTCTCCACATTGCTCCCAACTTCCACTCCAAAGTCCACGCCTACAACCCTATGGCCCAAGCTGTCTTCTCTAACAACCAGTGCTCCAACAGAGTCGCCTACACCTGCATCCTCCACACTCTCCACAGCCAAAACCAGCCTGCTGCCATCATCAGCATCTTCTCCCTTCTCAACTATATCCTCAACAGTACTGAGCACATCTCTTCCCGGTATGTATTCCTCCTGCTCTTCAAGCTGTAGTGTTTGCTCTTCCCAGTTCTCACTCTTCATTCCTACCATTCAGCACAAACCACTTTGTTGTCCCCCTCCTTTTCCCACTGATTTTAGCACTGTCACTCCTAGGATCTGTGGTGAGTTGCTGGGTCTGTACTGCAGTTTTGTTTGGGGAGGAACTTCTTTTCTTCCTTGGAGTCCATTATTTATGAAAGAACACCCTGCCTGTGTTGGTGCGGGCAGACAGTGCCCTGTGCCAGAGAACTTCCTCTTCCAGGGAGAGGAGGAGTTAGCTGAGCTGCTGGAGGGCAGCCTTGAGGCATTGTTTTTATCTCACCTTGCTGGGGAGGAGAGAAGAAGGGGAGGGGAAGAGCAGGAGCCAGTGGCCAATTCCTGCCTCTTGCCCAGCGAGTGTCAGTGTAGCAAGGTCCTACTTCCCTGCCCTTCTGCATAGCCCAGGGCTTCTGTATGGGAACTGTATGGGAATATCTGTATGGGAAAGGAAGTCTACTTCCTTTCTTTTCCTTTGTAATCCTTTAACCAACCAATGCTTTCTTTCCTGCAGCTTTCACCCATGAAACAACAACTGTGCTGCACATGGTGCCGTATATCACCACGGAGAGGACCACTGCCACACCTGTTACCACCAGCACCTCCAAGACCACTGTCTCTAGTGAGGCCAGCCCCAGCAGCAGCCCAGAAGTCCCCCTGACAACGACATTCCCTGCCCCCAGCAGCACTCCCAGCACCAGGCTGCCATCTTCTGCCCCATCCACAGTCACCTCCTCTCCTCCGACCTCCACAATGAAGTCCACACCTACAACACTAAGGCCCAAGCCCTCTTCCCCACTGACTAGTGCTCAAACGGAGTTTACCACACCTGCTTCCTCCACACTCTCCACAGTCAAAACCAGTCCAGTGCTGTCATTAGCATCTTCCACTTCTTCGTCTGTGTCCTCCACAGCACTGAGAACATCGCATCCCAGTAAGCCTCCCTCCTGCCCTTCTCATTCCTCTGCCTGCTCTTCCCAGTTTTTGCCCTTCATTTCTCATCTACTGTGGACACCAATTTGTTGTCACACTCCTTTGCTCACTGGTGGTGGGCATTTTTGTAGGGTTTATAGGGGGTTGTTTGCTGTGCTTCATGACATGATGGATTAAATGGCTGACTGAATGCTTAGCAGCTAATTAGGGTGAAGTCGCCACATGCTGCCCTTCTCTAAGGTCCTCTCAGCACTCTGGGGAGTTCAGCTGGTGCACTGGTTTCTCCCTTGGATTGTGCTTTACCCAGCTTGATGCATGTAAGCAGTGCCCTCTACCTGTGTCTTGATTGAGACAGGCACATGCAGGGATGTTCCTCTTCCAGTGAGATACAGAGGGTAGTGAAATGCTAGGGGGCACTCATGAGGTGCAGTCCTTGCTGCAACTTTCTGGATAGGAGGAGGATGGGGAAGGAAAGGGCAGAAACCACTGGCTCTTTCCTGCTTCTTGCCCAGTGAGAGTCAGTGCAGCTTGGTTCTGCCTTCTCGTTCACGTGCCTGGCTTAGGTCCTCCACCAGGAACAGCTAGCATTGTTTCCCTTCCATTGTTACCCTTCAACCGACTTGTGCTTTCTTCCTGCAGCCTCCACCCAGAAAATAACAACTGTGCCACACATTGTGCTGCCAGTCACCACAGAGAAGACTACTCTCACTGTGTCTGCCACCAGCACCTCCACAACCCCTGTCTCCATTGAGGCCAGCCCCACCAGCAGCCCAGAAGTCCCGCTGACAACATCCCGTGCCCCCAGCAGCACTCTCAGCACAAGGCTGCCATCTGCTGCTCCATCCACACTCTCCTCCACACCGAAGATCAGGCGTACAACCCTGCTGCTTAAGCCTTCCTCCATGACAGCCAGTGCTCCAGCAGAGTCGCCTACACCTGCATCAACCTCACCCTCCACAGCCAAAACCAGCCTCTTGTCATTGTCTCCATCTTCCTTCTCTACTGTGTCCTCAACAGCACCGAGCACATCATATGCCAGTAAGCCTCCCTTCTGCCCATCTCACTGCTCTGCCTGCTCTTCCCACCCTACATTCCTACCTCACAGCACAAACCATGCAGTTGTCACGTGCTTTGATTGTCACCTTCCTTACCTGCTGCTTTTTACATTGTAATTCATGGAAGAACATGTGTTGAAGTCCCGTGGACTGTCTTGATTCTTCCTACGCTCCTTGGATTGAGCTTTTCTTCCTTGGAACCCAACTGGTGCTTTGCTTTAGCTTTTTGATCAAACAGCACTGATATTACAGTGATGCTTTAGATCTCTATGAAGTATGCTGGCACATCATAAACAAGTCTGTTTCTCTCTCTGGCATCTCTCTGGTCTGGGAGTGGGCAAGATGGTGATAGTTACACAGCTTTCACAGCTGACGCCAGCTGTCCAATGAGATATTCCATGCCACACAAATTCATAGTCAGCAATAAGATCAGGGTTGATATTTTTCAAAAGAGCCATTCCTCAAAGGCTGGTATAACCTCCGTGTACTTGGTAGGAGGTGGTGAGTAATTTCTATGCATCACTTGGGCATTAGTTTCTATTGTACATTTCTCTATTCAGTTATTCCACTTTCTTGTGAAATTTCAAGTGTTTTGACACTTGAGTCTTTCCCTTCTTTTGCCATTCCAGTTTTTTCCCCCCTTTCTCATGAGGGGAACTGAGCCAGTGGCTGAATAGGGTCCTAGAAGTCATCCAGGGTCAACATGAACTGCAATTCTCTTTGGCCCTCTCAGGATTTTTCCCTTCCAGGTATTGGAGTTATCGTGCTGGGGCTCAGGTCTCACACTTGGAGCCTGCCCTGTGCATCATGAAACAGGAAGACGGGATGATCTACCAGTGTCTCAGCTAGGTAAAGGGATGTGCAGAAAGGCTCTATTTCTGGGGAAAAGCAGAGAGTGCTGAGGCACTGGAGGGCTTCTACTTGGAGCAGCTTTCTTCTACTCATCTGGGAAGGAGCAGGATATGGAAAGAGAAAGGGCAGGAGCCACTGGCAAATTCCTGCCTCTCGACCAGCAAGACTCAGGGCAGCACAGGCCTACCCTTGTTGCCTATTTGCCTGACATGGAATTTCTGCCTGGGATCAGCGATCCTTCCCTGGTTACTCTTCAACTGATTCCTCTGCTTTCTTTCTAGCAACCACCCACAAAGTGACAACTGTGCTGCACATGGTGCCATATATCACCACAGAGAAGACCACTCCCACGATGTCTTCTGTCAGTACCTCCAAGTTCTCCATCTCCACTGAAGCCAGCCCCACTACCAGCCCAGAAATCCTACTGACAACATCCCCTGCTCCTAGCAGCACCCTCAGCACCAGACTGCCAACTCCTGCCCCATCTACACTCTTATCCACCTCTCCCTTAACCTCCACTCCAAAGCTCACACCTACAACACTGAGGCTCAAGCCCTCTTCCCTGACAACCAGTGTTCCAGCAGAGTCACGTACACCTGCATCCTCCACACCCTCCACAGCCAAAACCAGCCTGCTGCCATCATCAGCATCTTCTCCCTTCTCAACTATATCCTCAACAGCACTAAGCACATTGCTTCCTGGTATGTATTCCTCCTGCTCTTCAAGCTGTAGTGTTTGCTCTTCCCAGTTCTCACTCTTCATTCCTACCATTCAGCACAAACCGCTTTGTTGTCCCCCTCCTTTTCCCACTGATTTTAGCACTGTCACTCCTAGGATCTGTGGTGAGTTGCTGGGTCTGTACTGCAGTTTTGTTTGGGGAGGAACTTCTTTTCTTCCTTGGAGTCCATTACTTATGAGAGAACACCCTGCCTGTGTTGGTGCGGGCAGACAGTGCCCTGTGCCAGTGTCTTGAATGGACATGACACATACAGAGAGTTTCTTCTTCCAGGGAGAGAAGGAGGTAGCTGCAGTGCTGAAGGGTAGCCCTGATGTTCTTAAGCCATCTTCCTGGGGGGGGAGGGACAGGATCAGGAGAGAAAGGACAGGAACAACTGCCACATTCCTGCCTCTTACCCAGATAGTCTGTGTGACACAGTCCTACCTTATAGCCCCATATCCCTAGCTGCTGCGTGGGAACAATCAGCCTCCTTTCCCTTTATTTGTTACTTTTCAACCTTCAGCTGACCTATGCTTTCTTTCCAGCAACCTCCACCCACAGAACAACAACTGTGGTGCACATGGTGCCATATAACATCACGGAGATGACCACCCCCATCAGCACCTCCAAAACCTCCATCTCCAGTGAGGCCAGCCCCACCAGCAGCTCAGGATTCCCACTGACAACAACATCCCCTGCCCTCAGCAGCACTCTCAGCACTAAGCTGCCATCTGCTGCTCTGTCCACACACTCTACCTCACTCCCAACCTCCACAACAGAGCCCATGCCTACAACCCCACAGCCCAAGCCTTCTTCTCCGACAACCAGTGCTCCAACAGAGACACCTTCACCTGTCTTCTCAACACCCTCCACAGCCAAAACCAGCCCACTGCCATCATCTGCATCTTTTCCCTTTTCAGCTGTGTCTTCAACAGCACTGAGCACATTGCAACCCTGTAAGTCTGCACTTAGTCCTTCCTACTGCTCTGCCTGCTCTTCCCAGCTCTCGCCTCTTTTTTTCTACCTCACAGCACAAACCATGCAGTGTTCACCCTCCATGTTATTATCACCCTCCTTACCTTCTGCTTTTGTCATTATCATTCTGGATACTGAGGTTCTGGTTCTGGGACTATGCCCTGGTTTGAGTTGGGGTGAAGCTTCTTTTCCTCCTGGGAGCAGCTAGCTTGATGCTCTGCTTTGTGATCATCAGTGCTGGTAGTACAGCAGTGCTTTAGCTGTTTCTGAGGCATGCTTCACAGCACTGAGGCATGCTCCATATCTTATTGGCCAAATGCATGCCTAAAGGTTTCTCCATGAGAACAGCTCATCTTTGCCATTTTTTTCTTGCCCTGCCACTCTCGGCTGAACTATGCTTTCTTTATGCAGCATCCACTCACAAAATGACAACTGTGCCACCCATTGTGCCTCCAGTCACCACAGAGAAGACTACTCCCACTGTGTCTGCCACCAGCGCCTTTAAGACCTCCATCTCCAGTGAGGCCAGCCTGACCAGCAGCCCAGAAGTCCCACTGACAACGACATCCCCTGCTCCCAGTATCACTCTCAGCACTAGCTTACCATCTGCTGCTCCATCCACACTCTTCTCCACATTGCTCTCAACTTCCACTCCAAAGTCCACGCCTACAACCCTATGGCCCAAGCTGTCTTCTCTAACAACCAGTGCTCCAACAGAGTCGCCTACACCTGCATCCTCCACACTCTCCACAGCCAAAACCAGCCTGCTGCCATCATCAGCATCTTCTCCCTTCTCAACTATATCCTCAACAGTACTGAGCACATCTCTTCCTGGTATGTATTCCTCCTGCTCTTCAAGCTGTAGTGTTTGCTCTTCCCAGTTCTCACTCTTCATTCCTACCATTCAGCACAAACCGCTTTGTTGTCCCCCTCCTTTTCCCACTGATTTTAGCACTGTCACTCCTAGGATCTGTGGTGAGTTGCTGGGTCTGTACTGCAGTTTTGTTTGGGGAGGAACTTCTTTTCTTCCTTGGAGTCCATTACTTATGAGAGAGCACCCTGCCTGCATTGGTGCGGGCAGACAGTGCCCTGTGCCAGTGTCACGCAGTTTCCTTTTCCAGAGAGAGGTAGTCTTCTATCTCTTCCTCTTCTGGTGTTGGAGGGCAGCCCTGAGGCATTGTTCTGAGCTTTCTAGGGAGGGAAAAGTAAGAAGTGGGAAAGGAGCCAGTGGCCAATTCCTGCCTTTTGACCAGCATTAGTTAAGAGTGCAGCAAGATCCTACCGCCCCACATGCATAGCCTGGGGCTTCTGCCTGGGAACAGACAACATCATTGCCCTTCCCATGTCTTCCTTCAACCAACCTATGCTTTCTTTCCAGCAACCTCCACCCTCAAAAAGACAACTGTACTGCACGTGGTGCCGTATACCATTACAGAGAAGACCACTGCTATACCCGCTACCACCAGCATCTCCAAGACCTCCATCTCCAGCGAGGCCAGCAGCCCAGAAGTCCCACTGACCACGACATTCCCTGCCCCTAGCCGTCCTCTCAGCACTAAGCTGCCATCTGCTGCTCCATCCACAATCTTCTCTACTTCGCCCCCAGTGTCCATACCAGAGCCTACACTTACAACCCTCTCTCCTTCTACATTTCCCTCTTCTGAGAGTGCTACATATTCGTCCTCCACACACAACACCACCTTTTCTTTTACTCCGCCTGGTGAAACATTTTCAGTAGCATTTCCCACCGCTGCCTCTGCCAAATCCTCTCCAGCTGTGATCCCAAGTCTTTTACCTACCACAATTAAGTTTGCTCCCAGTATCACCACTACTGCTTCCACAGAGATCCCATCCACTGAACAGACATCCATTCAAACGACGACATTAACCACCACCCGCACCACATCAGCTCTTTCTGTCACTTCTGGTCTTTCAACTTCCATGTCTCCTTTTAGGCCATCGACAGTACCACAAGGTGAAGTATTTCCTTGTCATTTGCTGCATCATATTTTAGAGTTTAGTACATTTTTTTCGTGTGTGAATTGTTCTGAGATATATTCTTTGCTAATCCAATTGTATATATTGACTGTATTTTTTGTTTTGAGCTTTCTGCATTAATATAGAAAAGTTGCTTTGAAGTCTTTGTTCTCACAGTGCATTGATGTTTACATGATGGGGGGGGGGAGGGGGGAGGAGGGGCAGTTATAAATGCTTTTAAGCCTTAACCACTGTTTGAGGACCCAGGAAAGAAAGAACTTCTCAATTTCAGCCAATTCCTGCATTCTCTTTTGGGTTAGTTCCACAGACAAAGGAGAACCTCTCTGGAAAGCATACTTCAACCATTTCATACTGCCTCCTTTACTGTAAACTGTTCCTTTTCTACTGTCTATCTTATAGCACTTTCACTGTGTGTTTTCCTCTTAGTTTATGATGTGCAGGTAGAGGAGAGTACATTAGTGTGTGTGATTGCCTCAGTGTTAACTGAGCCTTGCCTTCACCAATGCTCGTTTTGTCTATAACCTTTCTTCAAGCAGGGAGTTTCAAAAGTTTAGCTGATAATATTGCGTCTGTAAAGAAACAAAATCTTAGAAATGACCAAATCAAGAATTTTTCAAGTCCATCGCATCCATTATTTGAACCAGAAATAATTCCCTGCAAATTAGCCAGCTCATTGTTTCATTTATGTCTTTGTGGTTTCATCAGTATCGGGAATAGAAGTTTTTTAGACTTAATTTTTGGACTCCATCATTCATATAAATGTTTGTTGTCCTTTTTCTGTGTTTGACAGAGTTTTGTAAAAAAGTGGAATATGAAGAAAACATAACTTACAGAGGCTGTTCTGCAAACATCACTTTGAGCCGATGTGAAGGACTGTGTCCATCTTCAGCAAAGTAAGGATACTGGAGAGCTTCTATAATATAAGTACACTAAGGCTGTTTCTTCTTTAGCTCCTGTGAGTAGTGCTATTTGTCAGCTATCACTCCCTTTACAAAATCTTTAGAAAAGATGTGTGTGATCTATACCCAGCAGTGTAGTGTTGGGGTACGAGCCAGCTAACTGGAAAGAGCACCTGTAAGAACAACAGTGCGTAGAGAACTACAGTGCACACAGGGAATATCTTCTCACCTAAACTTCTGAACACAGTATGGCAATACTGCAAGGTTTGAGTTGGTTTTTTAATTATTGAAGATAACAGTCAGACTACCAACTTTTCTTCCATTCACAGCTGTTCTTACCTAAATATTTTTTCCATGCAAGCCCAAAAA